CCGCGATACCCGACAGGCTTCGACCAAAAAGCTAGATCTTCTGTAATCTTGTCAAGTCCATCAGGCACAAAACATCTGAAAACAACCTCAGGTAGACCATGGGATCTCCTGACCCGTCAAACCGGTCGATGTAAGGCATCATGAACTTTTTTGGCAATGTCACCGCCGAATTAGTATATCCATCTTCAATGTTCGGGATCGAGTTGACTCCCTGGGCTCGCTTAAATAGGTTCTCGAGCTTACTGGCTTTCAGCGCAGTTGGATCCACCTCGAATTCGGACGGTGTGTCCACAGGATTAGCCGGTGCTTTTGACATCTAACGTGGGATTGGCAGTGGGACTGGCCTTGTTAGAACGTCTGTATTTTCCTGGACATGAGTCGCCTCCCCGGGTGTTGGAACTATACTACCGTTGCTAATATGCATATATATGTTTGGTTATGATTCCAAGTGTTTTATAGACTTCGTTATTGGGTCTAGTTTCTTAGAAAGCCCCATTTGGGGGTGGATGCGAAGCAGACACGCTGGCTTGTTAGGGTTGCTGCTGCTGCTAAAGTCTGGCAATTAGTTCTGCCTGTTGAGCTGCAACTTCTGCTTGACGGGCAGTAACTTCTACCTGGTGGGCAGCATCCTGCTGCATGGCCTATATGGTCTCTTGGAGTTGACGCATCATGTCCTCCATATTAACTAAAAACTGTTTTATCTGACTGAACAGGTGTGTGTTCCCTCCCTGAGGTAGAAGCAGATATCTCATCCCTAACTACGCACAGGTGAGGTGGATAAGGACCGCTGAATTAGAGAGTGTTGAACTGGTGATCTGTGCCTGACTGGCCTTTTCTTGACTTACCACTGGCGAAGGAAACACTGGTTACCCTTGAACTGAATCTCTGACCTGACAAAGTCTATTAACACAAGTCCGGTGTACTCGGGGGATATTGGAGGCTTCTGAAGCTATGGTTCCAGGACTACCTAGCAAAAGAGAAACAGACAGCACCTCAGCCTGATTTCACCAAGACAAATATGAGCGTAGCTGAATGACTATGCTCTCTACTGAATTCTGCCCAAAATTCTGCTTGTAAACTGATACCCTGAGGCCGATACTCAGACTTGCAACTGATACATGCAACCTATAGAGATGCACTCTGACAGCACATATCAAGCAAGTGAGAGCCACAATACCCCTATGGTGGGGTGGGGTTTCCATGTCCTATTTTGTCAAGAGCTAGGGTTTCACTACGCACACATGTAGTTTCAAACAAGCTACATTCGGGTAAGCAACTAGTCCTAGTTTGGAATGGTCTCTATGGCTTCCGATATGCAACTCGGTCGATTGGTCAAAATGGGTGCCTCGACAAAATCGAGATTTGTGTTCCCATCGTGGCAGAGCCCGTAATCGGTCAGCCTTATGGCATGCTTTTCCAGGCAAACCTCCGGCAAACCGCTCAGGAATAGCAGATGGCAAACACTGTGACTTAGGCACACCTATGCAAATGCAATGCAAAGAAACACAAAAGTGTAAACAAAACAACATATCATGATGTTTGAGTTAGGTTCTCTAAATCCCCAGCAGAGTCACCAGAAACTGTAGACCGCCCAAACTCGCTCCGTACACAAAGGCGCGAATTGGGTTCATGGCTACTACAGCTCGGACCCCTGTCATGGTTCTAAATCTAATCTCACAAAGTTCAATGTAAGACTGATAAATCACTAAAGAGGCCAAATCCGATAATTGGTTTTGAAAAAAATCAACTTTGAGTCAAAAAGTGCCAAACATGGACTACTTTGCCAGATTTTAGAGTCGCCACCTAAATGTTTTATTTTTGAGAAATTTAGGAAACCCTGACTCGTTCCAAAGGCCACGTGTCCGTCATCACCAAAGTTGCCTCGACTCGGGAACCTGGGTACGAGAGGGGAAAGTCCTGAAATGAGCACCCCCGCTCGCCCGATCAAAGGATCGGCCTTTACTAAACTGATATGTTATTTTTGAAAACACATGCGTTCTTATCCTGGTTATTAATCTAATTTACTATGTGATGCGCACAACATACAGGTATAGACTAAATTGCTCGATTTGAAACAAAACATCTCATGTTTGTTTTTAGAAAGTGGTTTGAAGATGCTACTCGCAAGTAGGCTAAGACACGGATTTGCCACCCTCAAGTGGGCATAAAACTCACATTCGATGAATAGTTCCAATTCAAGCAATAAAGCCTTCACCCACAGGTATTCATGCAGTTAATCATTTAAGCAAATAGCCTCATGGCAGTCACTTACACACATGCAAGGATGCTAAAGCATAAACACTTACAGTGTACTCCAAGCCAAAACCGAAAACTAGTTAGAAATCATGCATGATCCTAGCTATGTTAAGATCCCTAATGCAACACATGCAAAAATGCAACTAAAATAGGCTCGGCTATCTAAGATGGCATATGAATGCAACACTTGATAACATGTTGTGAAACACGTCTTCAAGTAAGTATGGAAATACAATGTAGTTTGTATTATGCGCCGTGCCCGGTGCATGCAAGACAAATGAATGATGAACGCATACAAAGCATAAGTTATGCGAATTGAAATATGGTCTAAACTAACCATCAAAAGCTGATAAGTAAAAGGGAGAAAGAAATGGAGGTTGGAAGACATGCACACACACACACACACGCACACTTATTACAACAATACGCCCTCTCGATGGAGGGTCTGAACGAATATGCAAAGCTATTCTAAGCTAAGCTAAGCTAACTAATCTAATTAAGCTAATTAGACTAATTATTACAACACATTAATTAATTAACAAATTAACTAATCACGACATCTAACTAATCATGTAAGATATTTAAACTAGGTTGCCTCAGCTCTGCCTTGGACAATGGAGGATGCATGCTTTCGGTTGCCGCCTCGAAACGCCTTCCGGTTTGCTATTGAGAGGCTCTGTTTGCAGGGTGTCATTATAAAATTTCTGCTCCACCTTACCAAACCAACTCTAAGGAAGCCACCAGTGGCCTGCCGGCCATGAGGAGTTGCTGCCGGCCACCTGCCCGCCGAGGGTGTGCACTACCGGCCACTGGTGTGCTGCATCACCATTCTGCAACAGAGCACAAACTAGAGGAAAATAAAGGGTCTCCCAAGGACATGTGTGTACTGTACCACTCCTTATCATCTCAAAACATCAAAGGAGAGGCACCATTGGATCCAAAACCATCAATCAAGCATGCAATGCGTGATGGCCAAGGATCCAACTTGCACAAATTCAATAAATGCATGACAAACAAGACTCTTGGACCATCACCTTATCATGGATGATCAAAGGCAATGGAGACAAAGGGGATTGACTCATTTTCATCACTTTGAGTATGAAATGGACCAATCCACCTTGTGTTCAATACAACGTCCGATTGAACACAATGCAATGCACACAAAACATGATTATTTTAGCATGTTTTACTTAGCTCAATTCTTGTTTACACATTTTAAGTTACCAAGTCATTCATTAACCAATTTGTCCAAAGGTGAAAATCTCTAAGAAGAGGAGGTCGACCAACAGAATGGTTTAAGGCATGGAAGAAACCATGCCTTTGGCTAGGAGGAACCCTCAAAAGAGGGTTAAAGCCATTTAAGCACAAGTCTCAATCCCTTGCATTAAACTCAAAACTCAAGACTAACCAATCCCCAAAACAAATCAAAAGTGAAGAAATGAGGAAGATGGCAGATTTTTCTGTGCTAAAGTGGCATGAAATACAAGACTCTTACATGCAAACACTTCAGGTACAACATGCTAGAAGGCTTAAGCATTAAAACTAGTGACGAGCTTTATACTAGAGCTATGCAAAATCAAAAAACAAAGCACTAAACCAGCCCTAGATAGACCTCAAGCATGCCAAAACAGTGTCTAAAATGAGCTAAAATGATAGCATGAAAGGCAAGAAATGCATGCTCATGCCTTGGCTCATAAACGAGGCATAAAGGCACAACTGTCAAAAACAATGAAGAAGTGATAAATGTGAGAGTGTGACAGAGGTACATGCTCTAAAATTACATGCTAAACGATGCTATGCCATGCAAGAAACCCAAACAAAGCATGCTAATGGCCTTAAAACTCATGACTATGAAAGCCTACTATGCCATAGCCACACAAGGAAAGCCCCAAAAATTAGTCCTTGGTCCCGACTTCAACCGTGCATAACTCCTTCATCTGGACTCCTTTTCAGGTTATTCTTGTGCCTAAACCGAAGCCCCAGAAGTCTTATTTCCAATTGTGGAAGCCTCACATCAAAATTCTAAGTATGCTAAGTGATATCCCTCTTTTAGTGAAGACTGCCCAGTTTCGGTCCAACCAGATTGATGCAGCCATATCTCCCTCATCCAGACACGACTTGAGGAGATTCTTGAGTGAAAAATGAATCTTCGGAAGTCTTCTTTCCAACAGTGGTGGCCTCATAGATGAAATCCAAGTGTACAAACAGATAGGCCTGATTTAGTGAGGATTGCTTGACTTTCTCTCAACGGTTCATGCCTATCTTCTTCCCCAACTTGGTTTCTTCTCTCTCCCCTAATTTTCTTCAACACTAAACCTCTAAAAATGATGTTTTAATGATCTTTTCAAAGATTTCACCTCTCTTTCATTCATTCCACTTTGTCCTTGCTCGATTTACCGGAAAGCGCAATATTTAACAAAATATGTGCCTCGGAACATCGTAGGAACATTTTCAAAAATATTTTGAAAGAGAGGGTTTTAAGATCTAAAATCTTTTTGGTCCAAAAAATGAGGTGTGAGGTTCAGATTTGACGCCTCCTTGCTAAAGAAATTAACCTTGGCATTGTACAACTTTCACCACCAATAAACAATCAGTAGCGCCCAAGTCTTAAGGGTGGTCAAAAATAAGGTGTCTACACCACCCACTCTCCCTCATCTTGTGGAGCCATACTTTAGAAATTTGAACTAAATTCATGGCATTAGCAATAGCTTGATCTTTTCTTTGTAGTGCTTGCAATAACTCACTTGTAATAGCCAATATCGTTTTCATCAAATGAAGGTTGAATACAAACTCAAATGATTGAATTGAGTCCAGCAATACATTTTCTTCTGCTCGTCGTTCTGAATTTGAACCATCCGCTGAAATCATTTCAAGCACATCAATCACTATTGAAAACATACTAGCCAAGCTGACTAAAGCACTATAGTGTGAACCCCAACGTGTATCGCTAGCACGTTTAAGATTAGTTTCTCGATTTAAGCCTTGCCCACTAGATAGCACTCCAGTATTAAGTGCCTCAGCAACTTTTGCAGCTTGCTTCTCCCTAACAATATCTCGGCGTTTACATGGTGCTCCAACAACGTTCACCACATTAGAAACCAAAGTGAAAAGTAAAGCTATTTGATTGTGATTCTTTCTCACGACTACATGTGCCAATTGCAATTGATGAACAAAACAATGAACATAAGATGCATAAGGATTCTCTTTCAGTATAAGTGTTTTAAAACAATTGAACTCACCTTGCATGTTACTAGCCCCATCATATCCTTGGCCCTGCAATCTAGAAATACTCAATCCAAGTCTGGAGAATAAATTTTCCACAGCTTGTTTGAGTGAGAGAGCATTCGTATTAGCAACATGCATAATACCCAAAAAGCACTCAATCACTTGGCCTTTTTTGTCAACATACTGTATTACAACTACCATTTGCTCCTTGATTGATATGTCACGGCGTCATCAATCAAAATAGAAAAAAAATGCATCACCAAGATCTCTAATAATCACATTGATAAGCCAAATCACCAAGTACACTAGGTTAATGAGCATGATTGCACTACAAGTGCAAAAACCATGCAAGTGGTGACCCAACCAACCAAAATCAGAGTTAAAGCATGTTAAATAATGGCCAAAAACATGTTGGAGTGGAGCTAATTCATGCTAGGATTACAGGCTAAGACATGAAGCATGTTAGGCTAGCAAGTGGGATTTACACTACAAGTGCAAGATGCATGCAAGAGGTGACCAAAGCAGCCATAAACAGAGTTATAATCATTGCAAATCAGTGGCAAAACCAAGCTTAAACCGAGCTAAGACAAGTCACAAAAACATGCTACTTTGCATGGCTAACTAGACATAGCATGAAGAGACTAGAAGGGGAGGCCACCCCCTCCTATTTGGGGCCTGAAAACAAGTTTCATACCACTGAAATTCCTCTGGAATTCAGTGGTTAAAGGGCCAGAAAAAGGTTGTTTGAAATTCCTTGAAAGATGGCTCAAAAGGTTTTACAAGCCAAGGAGCAAAGAAGGGGAAACACCCCCTAGCCAAACAAGGCTTAAACCACCAATTTTAGGACTGAAAAACAGAGGTTGTATTAGCAACATGATTGTTTGAGTGAGAGAGCATAAATTTTCCAAGTCTGGAGAATAACAAATCCAATTTTAGGAGAAACACCCTCTGTTTTTGTACTCAATCTAAGTCTGGAGAATAAATTTTCCACAGCTTGTTTGAGTGAGAGAGCATTCGTATTAGCAACATGCTTAATACCGAAAAAGCACTCAATCACTTGGCCTTTTTTGTCAACATATTGTATTACAACTACCATTTGCTCCTTGATTTATATGTCACGGCTTCATCAATCAAAACAGAAAAAAATGCATCGCCAGGATCTCTAATAATCACATTGATAGTTTCAAATGCGACCACATTAACAATATCTTTTTGAATATCAAGAGCTGTCAACTTGAGATTTTATGGAGCATCGCTCAATGCAACCACTTTGAAATCTTCATTATGATCAGTAAGAAACTTGAGAAGTTCAGGAAAATTTCCTTGGTTACTTGAATTTTCAGATTCATCATGCCCACAAAACGCAAGTCCATGCCTTAGAAGAAATTTGACACAATCAACTGACGCATTCAAACGGGTTCAATACTCAATTTGAGCTTGATCAGATTGTTTGAAAAAAATCATTTGAATATGTTGGTTTTGGTTTAACAAGTCTTGACATTTACTCAAAGCTTGATTATGAGCACTATTGGGACCTCTAACATGAGTCTGACTTTTTTCTTTTTTCTTCCAATTTGAGAGACCCTCACCAACAAAAGAATCACCACCAGATTGATCTCCAATATCGGATTTGAAAAGATAACAACATAAACAAAATGCGACATCTTTTGCTATGTTATACTCTAACCAATTAGAAAATTCACTAAACCAAGCCTAATTAAATCGCCGAAGTTTTTGTCCAAATGACTTTTGTGGAAAATTATGATCACGAGGTTGACAAGGACCTTTTTGTAGATATTCCCTATGAATTTGGTCTTGATCATTAGCATTATAGTCCATAATCCAGAGTTGCAGTCTTGGATCTGCAGGAAGGTCTTCTAAGTTGATTTCTATGCAACTTTGTTTTGCGGAAAAATAATTAACATCTTATTCTCGAGGAAGACATGGTTCCAACTTCGATTTTCTGTTGAAATATTTCTCCATGACTGCTTGAAAAAACTAAAAATCAAAATCCAAATAAATTTACAATTTTCAGTCTGGAGAATAAATTTTCCAGCTTGTTTATAAGTGATAAAGCATAACAAATCCAAATTGCAAGCAGAACTTATTCATAAAATATGAAATCAAATAAGATCACCTTTCTCTGTATTAATAAATAACGATCCCCATAATAATAACAATTGTAGAATTGAACATTAGATTCTTACCTCCATGACCATCATAAACACCAAAGAACGATGTGGAGGCATCTAGATCAGGATATGCAGAATGCTAAAAAAATGGAGGGGAAAAAAAAAAGAAAGTAAGAAACCAATTATAAAAATAAATAAAATACAAATTTGTAGTATTAAACCCAAATGATGGAGATGGTATCACACAACTTCCACAAGTAGGAATTTACCAATTCTGACCGCAAAAACATTAATTTGCAATAACATGGCAACTGGAATGAAGCCTCTACGACTATCATGACACTTCAAGGAAACAACAAGACAAAATTATTGATTAGTTTAAAGTACCCATCTTTTCATTATATCAACAAGACTTAAGCCCTTCTTCCAAAAAATCAGTGCATCAAAAATTTTAACAAAATATAGCCTATAACGACTTATAATTTTCATCCCCATCCCAAAAGGGTTTGATAGAGAGGTTACCAGTTACCTAGTTCTTGTGTCAAATTATCATGTCTCCCTATGAAATGGTTACCTCCACCATGTATGAACAGTTGACAAATATATTATACACACAAAAAAATAATTGATATGCAAGAAAGAATAAGTCTGGAAAACAATTCATAGCCAATGACCTTTTCAGTTTTATTCGAATTACATGATAATTGATAATCTCAATCCAGCCACAATACTTATTTTGACCATGGTTTTGATAATGATATGGGCATTTTACCAAAACGAGAGAACATGCTAGTCCAAATTAAAAAGTCAAAATTAAAAAGTCAAAATTATAAAGCATCAAGACCAAAAACAAGAAGTGTAAAAAGGATCACTTACTCCACATAATTGAATAGAAGCTGTCTCAACATGAGAACATGCTAGTGATATGTAATTCTTCACCTGTCTTAAATAAGAAAAAGAAGAGGCCATAAAATTAAGTTTCATATGCAGACCAGAAGTCAGTTCCATGCCAGGAAAATATGGGGTGCCAGAAGAAAGCAATGAATTGCAGCAAAGATAAGGTAATGATTAGAATATGTATAAGAACTCTTCTATTATAGAGGTTGGTGTCAATTAATTGCTAAACCAGACATTTAAAAAAAATAAAAAATTGCAGAGTCGAATTATGGAGAAACTGAGTTGGTGTCTCAACCAAACCTCCTGTACAAATTATGTAAAGTTCTTGTTTATATTGTGGTTTGACTGGTTTCTCAACCAACAATTCTGAAATAATTTTAGCAACATGAACGAAAGTATAATGTACCTCCAATATCCTTTCAATTTTTTTGATTCACATTTTTTCAAGTAAAAATATGGAAGCAAAACTTCTTTAACCTGATTGCATACATGAGAGCCAACCTATTAACTAGAGGCAGACCCTTACACCAAAGATACTTTCATCACTAAAATGTTCCATTTTTTCAGTGCTTATTATCCAATATTTGTGATGGTAATGTTTGTGTAATCCAAGAATGTGATGTCATCCCCACCATTATGGCGAATCGATCAAAGTTTATCTTGTAACAATACCTCAAGTGTCACCAACATAGTGATGAACACATCCACACTTAAACTAGATTTTGGATACCTTTGTTTAAAGCAAAAAAATAAAGAATAGAATTGGGAAGAGAATAGAGTTTGCAATGTTTTTTGGTAATTTGTTATTGTTAACACATAAACATCATGCAGATTTTCATTATTTATAGTGAAATTCGCGCAATTAATTTCATTATTTTAAATAACTTCACATTAACACATGTTTGCACACATAAACTATCTATATTTCAGTTTAAATATCTAAATGTTCACACGTGCATGCACACACACACACACACACACACACATATACGGGGAGAGTTTGAGGAAATTTCGAGGCGGGGTCGGGGGAACCTATCACCGTCCCTGACCCGAAAATCGTCGGGGATGTATTTTTCAATACCAGCCACAGCCCTATGGGGAATAATTTTCGAGAAAAAAGCTCAACAATGATGAGAATAAAAAGGATTTGCAAATAAATATTGTGCCAAAGCTTTTAATGAGTTAACTTTACTGGAGGTCCTCCATCAAAAAACTCAATAGCCCCTCGGCCAACCATATTTCCCTGGAGTATAGAATCAATGTTATCATCTAATCTTTTGACCCCTGCAATATAGAATCAATAGGGTTTCCATCAAATTTATGTACCAATATAGTATAATCACTCCCATAAGAGCCAATATTGTTATCTGAAATATAGTTTTGAAGCCAAAACAATTAATTAGAATAACAATCCACTCCCATTTCCTTTAAATGCCACCAAATTAATATGTGCATAAACGATTACCACATTTGATAATTGGACAGCCGGTTGCATCGTGTTCTTCTCTACAAGTCGTGTTTGTTATATATGGAGTTGTGCTGCTTAGTACTCCAAAGCCGGAACATCATAAATGTTCTCTAATAAAAACCACCTATTAACCTAATCAAACTTTAATGATAATTTTTTCAAAAAAGAACTGTAGGAAAGAACATTTTCTTTGGGTTTGTCCTGATTTTCTTGAATTGTACTTTCCTCCAATCCTTTTTTCTAAAAACTAGGGTTTTTGATAAAGAACCTGCTACTAGTTCAGGCAATTCTTCTAACTCAAACAATGCCATTGAATTTGGTTACCATAAGAGAAATTCAACTTCCCAAAATGAAAACAATGCTACAACAAACAAATTTATTTTAGTTAAGCATAAGCAGAAGTACTACTTGCACAACTAAATAATAAAAATATAATAGATTGCAGGGAATACAATACAAAAAAGAACATCTCTTACAACACTAATAAAAATAGGGTTAAATATATATTAAGATAGAACATGAACACAACTACCTCAAAAATCTGGTGCTGGAAAGAGATGATTCAGTGGGGGATACGATCTTCCTTCACTGAATTTCAAACCATACAACACTTCTTCTTTCATCGCCTTTGAAATGTAATTCCCTATAAAGATAGACATGTATGCAAAAATTACCATTTTGTAAGAAACATGTAAAATGGAGTT